GTTCTTCGTCCCGGAACATAAGTGTAACTCTTGATAAAGGATATTCGGCTTCCAGAGAGTTCGTGCTTCATACAGTTATGTCTATCTCACAATGAATTGCACTGTATGATTTACTTGACAATGTTATTATATTATATTCCAGTCAGGACAGAAGCCAAAACGGAAACCTGTTGATTACAGAACGGTGGACGGCGGATCGAATGACTCGATCACATCGACAGGACCTGTCTGTCATTATCGCAGTTGTGAATCTAGTCTGTAGAGGAACGCCAGTTCGATGCATTGGAAGAACTCCTAAACGGACTGTATCCTTGACTCAAGTTTAATAGTGAAAATAAATGAGTGAATTGAAACTGAGACTGACGTGACATAATACATTATAAGAAATAATCGTTATTCATCGACTCTGAGCAAACCTCATGAAGCACATGTAATACGGCATACAGTTTCGCTATCGCTACTCAAGAGAGCAAAACATATTCGGTGATGTGATACATTCGAACTGTCACATTCCCAGTAGTACCTGATAATAAATGGTAAACATTCATAATAGAAACTTTAGACTTACAAGCCTCATCGTCATCGTCGTCGGACTCTGACACATGAACGGATACCACATTCGTATCACAAACAGTCCATTCGAAGAAAAGACCAAACCCAATGTCGTAGTTATCCGTAGCGAACTCCCAGAAAAGACATGTGCCATCCTGATGAGTTGGCACACGTACCTGAAAATGGAAGAATTTAGCAAAACGAGAAGACTAAATTTTAACACGACTTCAAAACATGAAATACCAGGTTTTTATGCGCGAAATGTCTGGCTTTTCAGAAAATACTCGGTTTTCCTTCAGATGGTAGTCAAACAGTCATAATGTCCGTGTAATAAGTTAAAAAGGGATTCAACTTTTACTCTTAAAGGTACCATAGAACATCGCAACACACAAGAGTAAAGTTAAAACGTGAAACGTATGAAACTTGGTCATAAGTCGACATAAAACATCAGTACGAAAAAGCAATTCGCTAAAAGCATATTCGCTTAAATAAAGTTTGATTATAATACGAATATTTGTAGTCAATGAACGAATTAATCTGCACGCTTCATAATTTTCCATTAGAAATCGCCCTCTGTTGAACAAAATTTAATGAATGACAGCTCTCGAATAACGGTTAACGCTGTACCCAGCTGACGATAATATTTAAACAAGTACTGCCAAGCAACTTGAACACTGGAAGCTGTGAATCATTCATATAAAGCTCTGCTTCAAATACAGAAAAGGTACTTAATTGAGCAGCTGAACAAACGATTTGTCCCATGTTGCCTAGGTAACCGGCGGGTGGGGGAGAGAAACGAGTAGCATGTTACTAACTTTAAAAAAAAACAGGGAAAGGTAGCGTTGATGCGGTCACAGCAAATTCGACGAGAGCTACGAACACTGTTTGAAACGAGACGCCTCAGGCTGCAACTCGCTCACATTCATGTGACAGCTGACTAGTCAGTGAGATCTGACAAAATGCACG